CTGTGGCTGCTGCGGGACGAGGGGGAGAACCCCGGCCAAGACTGGAAAGCCACCAGGTGAGCGCTCACCACGGCCCCCTTGGCCACCGTGGCCAATAGGCCACGCATCCCGAGCAGGGTAGAAATCCCCCCATCTCAGAGTGGGAAAAGGGGCCCTTGGCTTTGGGCGTGAAGGAGAGCCCCTCCACTGCAGCCCGGAGCTGCTGCAATGGGTGGAGGGGATCCCTGCAGGATCGGCACCAGCGCTTTCACCCGGATAAAGTGATGGCCAGGGGCGACGCCTGGAGAGCAAGGCCACGGCCGCAAGGAGACGGCGCATCCTTCTGCTGCTCGCAGCCCGGCAGTGCGGAGTTCTTCCATCAGCCCACCGGGAATACTGCACATCGGGGGGAAAATAAAGCATTTTGGGGGAGAGGAGGAAAAGTAGTTGTTGCCTCTGTGTTCTACCCTGACTCAAACCCGCGCAGCGAGGCCCCTTCTCTAGGGGTGTGCTCAGGAGGCTACGGCATCCCACGGCCTTCCTGAGGAGGCACGTGCTCCAGCAGGGACGGTGCTCCCCGGCACCCTGGGGAGGCACCAGAGGAAACACACAGGGGCGATGCAGAGCTACCCGGAGCCACCGGAAGAGCCAGGTGGCCAGGGCCGTGCAGCCCCCACGAGCCCCATGGCGTGACAGGAGGATGCCGGGAGGATGCATGTGCACCATGGCTGGATGGCATTCCCAGTACGCGGCTCCAGCCTGAGTGTCTCCCCGATTGCTCCTCCTTTTTTTTTCTGCTTCCACCAACATCCAGCAGCTGGTGCTCGTGGATCAAATACGTGGCCTTAGGAAGGGCTGTGGTTGCTGTTAGAGAGGGCAGTACTTCCTATTGCTCTGTCGGCAGCTGAAATGCCGAGGAAATACTCTTCCTGATCTCGGAGACAGGGAGAAGGGACTCGTAGCTCCCCTGCCCCTCCCCAGCCCTTGCGAACGAGCCTCATTTCACACTTTCCTAACCTCGCTTAAAATGCATGCTCTCAGGAAAGGAGAACAGCACTAACGACACACGCACTTGTCAGACAGAAAAGAGAGGGTTTCTGTCTTACACTGTCAGTTCTAGAGGCATGAGCAGAATATTTTGCCCTAAAGCCTCCTGGTTGTGCTCTGCCAGGCTATGCCTTACAGGGGGGAGGGTGCACACCGGTCACCAGGGCAGGTTTGTTGTTACTCTTCTGACCAAAATTAAATTATTGGCAGTGCCGCAACACTGAGGGCTGGGTGAAAACACACTGTGTTCATGTAGGTACCTACTGCCTTTCAGCCAGGATGCAGTGGGAAATGGGTCATGTTCTGGACTAAAAGAGCTAATGGTGACTCAAGCCCAAGCCTCGGGCCAGCCTCATCCAGAGGGGCTGGAATTAGTTGGCACAAATGCCAGCGGTGGAGCAGCACCGGGACCAGCAGAGCAATTGTTCCCCAAAGCCGTCCACGCAGACACATCACAAGGGCAGCACCTGAACTGGCTTTAGCCTCCAAGATAACACAGCCCCTCGAACAGCGTCCCGGCGCAGCATCCCTGCTCTGAAGGGCCGTGCTGACCGCACGGATGGGTCCTTGTGCCAAGAGCTGCTGTTCAGATGCTTCGGCTGCGGCACCCCATGTGTTTTCCTGGCGCCCTGCCTTGTCTCATAGCAGTATCTTTTTTCTGACCAAGCCAAGCCAGGCAGTCGAGACTACACTGGAGCACAGGGGTGTCCCCATTGCTCCTGGCCACACAGCAGCCCAGTTGCTGGCTCCTCGCGCTGCTGGCAGCTCCGCAACGCTTTGGTTCTGATGATTCACACAGGTCCTGGTGAGCACTGAGCCAAGGCGCGAACCTCCCGCAGGGCTGAGAGGCTTCCTGGGCATCCAGCAGCACTGGACTGGAGCGCTGCACGTGGTGACCGCCTGCACCAAGGGCACCAGCCTCCAGCTCTCTGCGTTCCTGGAGAAAACAGGCTGCAAGGAGATGCCAGGTGCTGCTTGTCCCAGTCAAGAAAGTAAAACATCAGCTCCTGGGGCCGCAGATCTGAGCCGATCAGCCCCAGATCCAGTGGCTCTGAGAAGGGAGGTTTGAGGGAAGGCTTAACTCCAGCATTCGCAAGGCCTAGGCAGTCCAGAGAGGAAAACACAGGGTGTCCTCAAAACACTCCTGAAGACACAGGTCTGTGAAGCTGACTGGGAGTGCCAGTGGTACCAGAGAGGTGCAACTGGAGCAGAGTGGATGTGGAAAGAGGCCAGACAAGCACCGCCGCTCGCTGCCGCAGCCCAACCTCTGCCTGGGCTCTGGTGGGGCAGGCAGGGACAGGCAGTTCCAGCAGAGCCATGCTCCCGCTGCGGGAAGTGCCAGGGCACAGTGTGGGTGCATTTCCATGGGACAGGCCATTGGAGCACCCTCAGGCTGTGACCGGACAAGCCACCCGGCTCTGCGGGTGGCTTCAGCTGAAAGCAATGTCCCCAGCTCTCGCTCCCAACCAGGGCAAGAAGGCAGGGCTGAGGCAGACACTGCGATCTGCAGCTTACACAGCGATTGCAAACTGAGATGCAGAGCGGCAGGGAGCTCCCGAGGAGCACAGAGCCTGCGCCACTCCAGGGCGCTCAGCG